TGTTACTGTGTGTGTGTTACTGTGTGTGTGTGTTACTGTGTGTGTGTTACTGTGTGTGTGTGTGTGTTACTGTGTGTGTGTGTTACTGTGTGTGTGTTACTGTGTGTGTGTTACTGTGTGTGTGTTACTGTGTGTTACTGTGTGTGTGTTACTGTGTGTTACTGTGTGTTACTGTGTGTGTGTGTTACTAAGTTGGGGGTGTAACAGATGCCAGTGAATGAAGACAGCTGCCCTCCTAGATACCAATTACAGACACACACACACGCTGTGTAGTCAGTGTGTTGCCATGACACCACGTTGTGTGTAATCTGAACTCTGACAGTCATTTCAAGGAACCAAGCCACAGAACCAAACAGGTTCTGGTTCCTTTTTATCATAAAGAGAACTCAGAGATGTCTTCTGTCAGCAGGACTCAGATGTGGAACCTGGTCAGCTGTTTTACAGAACTTAGTTCTGGCTCTGAAGTCAATAAATGTGAACAGAACCTGCACTCTGAGCTCAGAACCGACAGACTGGACCTGCAGCTCTGTCTGTTGTTTCTGTTAATACTTGATGACTGATTGCCAGGTTCTGTATGGATAAGCTTCCTCAGTGCGTTCTGTTTAGATAAAGGTTCTGTCGGTTCATTGCCACTGTTCGCCTCCAGCCTGTCAATAAAGTTCATTTAAATTCATGAGCTTTTGTTCACCAGCAGCTTTTCCAATAAAGACACAGTTTCAATGAGATCCTCTTTTTAACAAGGTTCCCTGCAGGGTTCCGCTGCCGCCGGGTCAGAACCACTGCAGAACCTCACCAATCAGAGACTCCATCACTGGGACACGCCCAACTGCCACCCCAGTGACACGTTCCACCAGAACCCTTCCAGAACCATCAGGTGATATTTACACAGTGAGGAATGTTCCTCGGTTCTGTGTCACGTTCCACCAGACATCAGGTTCCACATCAGCTTTAAATTAGACATTGTTTAGTGAACCCAAACCCTGATGGCCGGTTCTAAAGGGTCGAGAGGTTCTAAAGGTTCTAAAGGTTCTAGAGGTTCTAAAGGTTCTAGAGGTTCTAGAGGTTCTAGAGGTTCTAGAGGCACGTGTTCTTTAAAAGAAATCACGAAAACATGATGCTTCAGCAGCTCAGAGGAAACTTCGTCTGAAACCAACGAACANTGGTTCTGCCATCAGGTACTAACTCCTGTGCATCATGTGTGGAACATCTAACAGCTGTGGTTCTGGCAGCACAATGCCATAGCTGCTGATGGAAGAACTTAGAACCAAGAAAACCCCGGAACATGTCTGATACCAGCTCTTAGATAAACTCTGATCAGCTGGTTTTATTGTTATATTTGTCCAAACAAATGGACCTTTAGTGGCACCAGGCGTTAGAATGAACAGGAAACTGAAGAAAACAAGGTGCTGTGATCATCTTTTCCATGGCTGTATAAATAAAACTGAATTGAAGTGAACACACAAACACAGAAGCTACTTCTGTCTTACAGCAGGACTACTACAGTACTACTTGCAGCCCTGACCTCCCTCTCGGTCCAGGATGTAGAGCAGGTGGACGGTACGCAGGATCTCCTGCAGGACAGAGTCGGTGACTCCTTTCTCAGCCATCTCGTCCACAGAGTCCGGATAGATCACCTGGTCTCTGAGGGTTCCCTCAGACAGGTAGGGCCTGGAACAGCAGGGTTCTGCATCAGTACTACATCAGTACTACATCAGTACTACATCAGTACTACATCCGTATTACATCACTACATCCAACAGTACAGTACATCAGTACTGATGTAGTAGTTGCAGTAGTTGCAGTAGTAGCAGTAGTAGTAATAGTACCTCTGTGGGATGTAGAACATGTGCTGTGGTTCCGGTCGGTACAGAACTCCTCCATAAACGGGCCACAGTCCACTGAGGATCCTGAACAGAGAACTTTTTCCACAACCGTTTGGACCTGTGATCAACACGTTCATCCCGTCCTCCACCTGACACAAAACAACACCAGTAGCAACAACAGTAACAACAACAACACGACAACAAAAACAGTGACAACAACACAAGTAGCAACACCGGTAACAAGAACACAACAACAGAAACAACAACAGAAACAACAACAACACATGATTGGAGCTGAGAACAGAGGGCTGTACCATAAAGTCGGATCAGTGGGTTTTCAGAGGGGTGCACTACGAAGCAAGTTCAACGTAGCCAGGCCTTCTTTGGGTAGCCGAATCAACAAAACTTAAGACATCGCCAACATGGCCAAGTAAAGATGTCGGCCACTGTGGCGGTATATGATATATGTTCGCGCCGCCGGCCGCCGTCAGTGTGCGATGTTGTGACGACACGGCTTCAGTGATATTAGTAACACACAGCTCAGGATTGTATCAGCAGAAAGTTGCTGATGCAGAAGTCACATAAACATGTTTTAATGTTTGGTTCTGATCTGCTGTCAGGTCCGTTTCCTCTGCTGCTGCTGCAGCTGATAGAACGGATCAGAACATGGATCATTCTGCTGGTATTGATCACAGAGAACATCCAATCAGTAACATTCATTCACTCTGATTGGGCCAAAAGTTAAAGTGATTTCCTNCACACACACACACACACATCAGCAGAACCAGATGAACTGAGAACTTCTTCGTGCTGAGAAGAAGCTCAGAACCGGTTCAGGAGAACCTTTTTGTCAAACTCTGGACTTTTCTCTAAGCTGTGACTTCATGAACTTATTTCTCATGAGACGATTTGAAACGTGAATCAAAACAAATGATGTCAATCTGATGAAACGCTGCTGCAGCTTCTCCGGACCAGTTGGTTCCATCAACGGTTCTGATGGTCAGCAACCATTTTGGGTCATTTTAACAGAACCAGCCTGAACTCTGGTTCCGCTCCCCGCTGTGAAAGTCTCTGTTTGCTTCCCTCTGTGACGACAAATTGGACATCTTTGGACATTTGAGGAAACTCTGATCCACATTTTCACCAATCAGCTGATGAGAACCAACCACAGATGCTGACTGATGCTGATCACGTGTCTCTGACGGAGACACTCTAAATAAAACAACAAGCCAGCAGGTCTGAGACCTGAAGGCCAGAACTGATTCACTGGTCTGCTGCTGTCTGAGGGAGGAAGCTGAGTGTGTGTGTGTGTGTGTGTGTGTGTGTCTGTATTGTTTTATTGTTTGTGTTCTCACAGGGTCACGTGATGCAGACTTCCCTTACGTAAAGGTGACTCTAAACTCACTTCTGCCATATAAACAGCAGTGTGTGTTTCAGTGCGTGTGTGTGTGTGTGTGTGTGTGTCTGTGTGTGTGTGTTGGAATGTGAGCTATTCATTGGCGGCTGCGGGCCGAGCCGTGCCGTGCCAGGACAGGCTGGGAGCAGCAGACACACAAACACGCTGTGATCAAACTGAACACTTGAGTTTCTCTCTGAGCTGTTAGAACCAGTCCCAGCTCACTGACCAGACTTCGTTACAGAACCGTCCACTTTTAGACCGCTGCACTCAGGCTGCGCCGCTCTGCTCTAAAGAGTCAAACCCGGAGAACCGTCGTTGAACGTTCACACATAAACACCATTTATGAGCCGAATCAAAGCGCGCCAAGTCCGGATCCTGAAACCACCTGTGGGGCTTTCTTTCAGTCGAACCGTCCGACAGAGAACCGACAACTTTCAAAATCGTTCAAATAACGAACGGAGTCCGGCGCGCCGCTGTCAGACACGCCTGACGCTCCTTCCTTCCTGCAGCAGCTGCGGTTTAGGAAAACTTGGAGCCGTGAAAAGGGACCGCGTGGTTCGGGGCGGACTCACCTGAGCTCGACGCGCTGCTCCGCGGTCCACCGGAGTTCAAGTCGGCCGAGAAACTTCCAGAAACCCGCAGAGACTCAGCAGAGACCCGGTTCTGCTCGATCCGCACCGAGAGCCGCACAACAGGTCTGAGACCCCGCCCCGCTCCGCGCTGCGCCCCCGGGCTCCTCCGGGGCTCCTCGGCGGGGAGTCGGGCTGAGGGCCGGAGTACTGAGTAGGCACTGCTCAGAGTACTACAAGTACAGAGTACACAGAGTACTGTCACTACAAATACATGTAGATCACAGTACTGGTACCACAAGTACGTTTAGATCAGAATACTGTTACTACAAGTACAGAGTACTGTTACTCTAAGTACATNGTTCAGTGAATCCGTTTTGTGCGTTTGTTGTTTTTTGGAGAACTGACGAATAGTTTCTCATCAGTTTCTTGTTTTTATGGTTCTTGATCCTCTGGAGGCTGAAACAGCTTCAAGAACGTGGACAGAATCGACCTCAGTGATCCGTTCAGGAGATCAAACAGCCGACCAATCGATGGACGATCACTCACTGATCAATACACACTGATACGGTTCAAGCAGCATCACTGTCTGATGCTGTGGTTGAGGTGGTGCAGCGGGTCGCCCTCTAAGGTCGGCGGTTCCATTCCCTCCACAGACGAGGTGTCCTCGAGCAAGAGCCTGAACCTGAACTTGGTCCTGACGGCAGCGTCCTGCTGCTCTGAGGCTGTCAGTGGATGAACGTATGAACGTTTGAATGAGAGGCAGCGTAAAGCTGAGCAGCACGAAGACAGAACAGTTCTGTACACGTGCAGAACATCTACAATTTCTAACAGAACCGGGATTGTGTTCACCTTCAGCCAGGTTCCCCTTCAGTTCTGCAAGTGGTCCTGGTGTCAGCCCGCCTGGTGAGGCTCTCAGGACTGCTCCGTAGGCAGCTGATGCCGGGTCTGAGTCTGGCTCATTACTGGGCCCACAGTCATGTGATAAACACCTGGAAGCTAGAACTGAAGAAACTCTGGGTGAAGGTGAAACAGCTTGAAGAACCTAAACGTGCAGCTGGAGGTCTCCAGAACACGACGATACACCTGACCAGGAGCTCTCCAGGAAGACTGGGACAGGCTGAGTGTACTGGTGCTGCTGGTGTGAGTCCAGTTGGTTAAACCTTCAGATTAGAGCACATTAACAGTGTGTGTGTGTGTGTGTGTGTGTGTGTGTGTGGATTAGAGGTGATTAAACATTAATCTGACTCAGACTAAATCCTTCAGATTAGTCAAATGGACGTTTCAGTCCAACTTCTTCGTGTCCGCGATGATGTCATCGCTACACACAGGTCACATGACCCGCGGGTCATCCAGGTTTCTGGTTCAGCGTCTTCAGTTCTTCAGAAAACTCCAGACTGAGTTTATCAGAGCAGCAGTGACACAAAGAAACTGGACGACACAAACCGGTGACGTCATGAAGCTGCTTCTGTTCATGTTCAGCGTCTCCATCAGCAAACTGCTGCAGGTTGAGTTTGACCCAAGAAACGTTTGGATCGGTTCTGGTTGTGTCCCATTAAAATCAGAGTCGGATTTTTGGACTGTTGGTGGGAAAAAACTTTTCGGTTGTCTGACATCCTATGAAGTGACCAGAAGTCTGTTCAGAAAACCACAGATTAAAACAGAAGCTTAAAGACACACACACACACACACACACACACACACANAGGTCTGGATCTGTTGAACTTCGTAGCTCAGCCCTCTGCATTGTCCTCCTGTACTTGTGATCATTGAAATGATCTGTGGTGTGTATTTAGCTTAAAATTAAACCTGTTTTCTATGAGAAACGGATCAATACATATGATCAATAATTATACCGTCGCCAAAGAATGTGACTGAGTGATGATGAAGCAGTGCCATCATGTGGTCATCAGCTGTTACTGCACTGACATCATCACATGATCACATGCAGCCAAACTCACTAATGACTGTTTATTTATCAATCAACTGCTTGACTGATTAATCAGTAACCTGAATGATTAGTGTTACTGCTCAGAAGAAACGGAACCAAAGTTAATAAAACAGATAAAAACGGAGTTCAACTACAACATGATGAAATAAATCAAACGGGTTTCTCTGAACAGAGAACAGCTCAGTGTGTAGATGGACAGATGTTCTGTGGACCTGCAGCTGGACTCTGGAGGAAGCTGAACAACATGCAGCCGTTTTAAATATGAAGTCGACACAGTTCAGCTCTCAGACCACAACAGGTGAGACTCCCAGGTGTTACCTGGATGTTAAGGCGGGAAACCACCACATCTCCGCTTGGTGTGATGATTGGCAGGTTCTCACAGCGAATCCCGTTCTCCACACTGACCACCTGACCTGCACGGAGCACACACAACACTGATTGGACAGAGCGTGAGGAACACTGAAGCTATGAAACGTTCTGCTGTTCGTTCTGTGCTAGAACCTGATCACGGTACATTGGTTCCAGCACAACAAACTGAAACACACAGAACAGGGATTGGGTCACATGTGAATTGAAGGGTTCTGGTTCTGTACGTTCCAATGGGAACATTCTGGTACCGGGACATTAAAGGCCCGCTGCTTTCATATGTGTATTATTTTTATCTTTGTTCTTGTTTGATGCGGGCGGCACGGTGCAGCAGTGGTTCTCACTGTCGCCTCACAGCTACAAGGTCCTGGTTTGAATCTGGTTCTGGACCTCACTTACCCCTTTTCCACCGAGCTGGTTCCAGTACTAGTTCAGAGCCAAAGCCTGACTCAGCACCAGTTCTTTGTGTTTCCACCGCCTAAGCACCGGCTCTGGGTTCTCAGAACCGGTGCTTTTCAGGCACCAAGTCTCTGCTGGGCCAGAGCTAAGAACCGTCAGGGGCTGGGGGCGGGGCTATTGGGACCACCGGGACCAATGGATGGGACACACGGAGGTGATTTGTGTCGTTCTTCACCAGGACGTCTCTGGTCCAATCACAGATGTACTGAATGAGTCCCNAGAACAAGCTGCTGGCTGAAGCAGGAGGAACCTGATTGGTCCGTTCACTGCAGGAGAGTCACCTGACGCGTTGAATGCCTCCTTTAATGAGAGTCTGAAGAAGAAAGTCTGATTAACAGAGAACGCTGATAAACACCTGCAGATGTCTCTGACTGGAGTTTAGGTTTAGCAGAGCCGGCTAACTCAAAGAAAGCCTGGATTTGTTGAACCTGCTTCCTGGTTCTGATCTCTGAGCTGATGTTCCAGATCAACCATAAACCTTTGTGCTACGTTCAGCCTCAAATAAACTTTAAACTCCTCGTGGTGGTTTAGGGTTATAGTTTGGTCTTCTAGTGACAAATGTGCAGCTGCAGTCCATGTTTGCGATTGGTCACCTGCTGCCAGCTCCGCCCCCTGGTTAACCTAACCAGCTGATAACCAGCTTCATGTGACAACGTTTGAGTCGTGAAGCTAGATCATGAAAAGATATCCTGGATTGGGTTCACAGTACGGGCCTCAGGCTAGAGCTAGGTTCAGGGATAGTTAAGGTTCAGTGTCAGGTTTAAGTTAGAACTCGATTCAGACTTAAGCTTAGGTTCAGGTTTAGGTTTGGCTTCTGATTAGAACCAGGTTTAGATTCAAAATTAATACCAGGTTCAGGTATACATTGAGGTTAAGGTTCAGGTTCGAATCAAGACCAGGTTTAGGATAGAACCTAACCTTTAGGTTTAGGTTCAGGTTCAGGTAATAACCAGGTTTAGATCAAGGTTTAGGTTCAGATTTAGGTTTCTGTTTCTGTTCAGGGTAAGGCTCAAGTTTAGATGCTGCAGGTTTAGGTTAAGCTGTAAATTCAAGATTAGATTTGGTTTAGGTTTAGGATCAGGCTCAGAATTAACTCCAGGTTGGGATTCTAGTTCAAGTTCAGGATTTGCTTTTGATATTCAGGGATTCAGTGTGCCATTAAGGGTCTTCACAAAGGTGTGTTTCCATGGTAACCAGTAAACCAGCATCTTTGTTCCATCAGTTTAATCTGAGCAGGGAGACTCCGCCCCCTCCCCCCCCTCCTCCCCCAGCAGGGCACACAGTTCAGTCAGTCTCTGCTGCATCTTGGGGATCCCAGAGAGCTGGTTCTCCAGCCGATGCTTCTCCTCCTGGAGACACAAGGACACACAACAGACACAAACGTCACAACGCTGCACGCCGCTTTCTTTCTTGTTTGGCTGGTGTTTGTCAATAAACTGAACTGAACTTCCTCCTTCAGCTGTGTGTCTCTGTCTAACTCTGTGACCCGATGTCCACCCTCACTGCAGAACCAGGACCAATATTTGTGATTTCAGAGGTGGGTCGTCGGCAGAGAGCAGCTTCTGTCCCCCCCTTGTGGCAGGCACTTTAATTACGCAAACCTACTCTGCAGCTCTGACCACTGCTGCTGATGGAACACAGAGCTGCCAACAGAACCCCAGCGTTGGGTTTAACCGAAACCAGAAACAGTCGTATCTGTTCCTGGACCCTCGCCGTCCTCGTCCAGACTCCTGAGTGGAACTTGGAGCTTCTTCTGGTGGCTTCACATCTGAAAACCCCTTAAACCTGCTACTGACCACCTCAGCTCTGATGGTGTTGACATCGAGGAGGTGGGAGGTTGGTGTTGGTCCGGTCTGGTGATACCGGTCCAGACTAACTCTGAACCTGAGCCTCATCAGGTGGTTCTCTGGTCTTACAGGTCTTAGTTCCTTTCATTATTTAATGTGTGTCAAGGTGAGAGGCTTCTTCTACACTCATTTATAATTATGTGAATAGGTTTATGGACTTTTCATGACAACTAAACCCTGATGTGGACTCTGACAGAACATTTTCTGGTCATACACTGAACACCTGACAGCACCCACAGCTGCAGCACAACAGGTGATGTTATTCAGGTAACCTCCACCTGAGCTCTGCTTGGAGGTCCTGAACCTCCTCAGAGTCTCGGTCATGGTCCCGTTGCTGCTAAACTCCCACAATGCTCTCTGCTGCCACCATGAGCTGTAGTCTGTAGACGCCTCCTCTGGTCTCTACAGGGTTAAGCAGTGAGAGGCTCCACCTGGTGGAACAACCAGGTACTACAGCTGGTCTATGGTACACTTCTCCTGCTTTATTGGCTAATATATGATCAATTAACTGATAAGCAGTTAATCATGACTCTCTCCAGAAGTGACAGCCAGAGGAAGAAGCAGCAGCTGAGCTCCAGCAGAAGCAGTCTGGTGTCACGCATTGATGATTAGTTTTATTGCTACTATGGAAGATGATGAGCTGCTATTGGATTCACACCACAGCTGCTGAGAGCAGAGTGACGCACTGCAGAGTGCGAACGTCTTCATGGACAGCAGGTCCAAACGGTGGAACATGTGGAACATGGAGGTGGACCCACAGCCTGAGTGGAACACAGAAGTTCTGCGCTGCAGCTTTAAATAAAGTTCAGCTTGTATGTGAAGCTGCTGATGGACCTCAGCTGCCCTGCAGCCACCATCCATCGGCCACCTGACACACAGCCGGCAGCTGATTGGCTCTCTCAGCCTCCTCACTGACTTCACACACACACAGATCACATGCTGCAGGCGTGTTGTCCTGCTGCAGATGGTTGCCACGGTAACCACAGAACCTGCAGAGGCAGCAGTTTGGTTTCAGCTGCTGCTTTAACAGTCACAGGAAACACACGCTGCATGTCTGAGAACAGGTTCTGGACGTATCTGCTTCTGTCTCGTGTTCCTTCACTGGTTCTTGTTCCTCTGCAGCTCTGTGGAACCAGAACATGAAGGAGGAGAGAGAACAGAGACGTCTTCTGTCAGCAGGACTCAGAACCATGGAGCCCAGAGAACAAAACAGCTTGTCTTAGATGATCTGCTTGTTTTATAAAAATGTCCGACATGTGTCCGACACTGGACCACTGGACCACTAGGGGTCTCCACATACGACAGATGTTGAACTCTGTCCTTGTTTACAGCCTCTCAGACAGTTTGTCTCCTCGTTGGTCTCATTTTGGTCATTTTGTGTCTCGTTTGTTGTTCAGTCTGAATTGTGTCGTTCTGTGTCTCTTCTTTCTTCTTGCTTTTCTCTGTCTGTCTCATTTAAACTCATTTTGTTCCTTGATTTTCTTGTTTCTGTTGTTTAGTCTCCTCGTCCTGCAGATGTTGAACCATCTCCATGTCCTAGACGTTTCCCCTCTGCTCTGCTCATCAGCTGTAGAAAGATGGTTCTGGTTCTGGTTCTACAGGATCAGAACCAGCAGGAGGGAGGTTCTATACAGTTGTTTTGGGGTTCTCTGTAGCCAGACATGTAGGATAAAGTGATGTGAGCTAGATAGTTCCTGGACGGAGCTGCACACCACCGATGGTGCGTTCAGGGGCATCCTGGAGGATCTGTTTCTACAGTTTCTGGTTGATGAATGATGTCCTCCAGACATTGTAAAGATAAAAGGCCTTTAGGTGGTTTAGAGGATTAAACTGGTTAAACTGGTGTGCCATCTGAGGTCACCTGAGGCCAAACTCACCTGCAGAGTCTGTGTACAGATGATACATCAGTTACCTGCTGACAAGGGACACAGTGGACCAATCAGAGCCCAGATTAAACACACACCTGCAGGGACAGACGAGTGGAGGCGTCCAGAGGCTCGAACCTCCATCCTCCTTCTCCATCGAACTGCAGCAAGTGAGAGTGGTACTTCCTGTCAGACAGAGCAGACAGACAGTCAGACACCAGCGACTCTACTGATCCATCATCGCCAGAAAACTCAGGTGTTCTGGTGACCGAGCCCACGCCGAGTCACCTGCACGCCTCAGCCTATCAGAACACGGTACTGACCACAGGGAGGGTCTGTGTGTGATCGACAGCAGCGCTATCCCAGCATCCTTCGCAGCCTGGAAGATGTTTCCCTCCACGTCGATGCTGACGGCGCTGGTGCACTCGTCCAGGAGGGCGTAGCGAGGGCTGGGCGAGCGACATCCACACACAGAGAGAGAGAGAGAGAGAGAGAGAGAGAGAGAGAGAGAGAGAGAGAGAGAGAGAGAAGTCAGTCTGATCTCACAGTCACACCACCTACAGACTGGTCTGCTGGTCGACTGGTCTGCTGGTCTGCTGGTCTACTGGTCTACTGGTCTACTGGTCTACTGGTCTNCATGGACCAGAACGTCGACCACAACACCTTAGTGGACCATGGACCAGAACATCTACCACAACACCTTAGTCCATCATGGACCAGAACGTCTACCACAACACCTCAGTGCATCGTGGGTCCCTTCTGGACTGAACCTGATTGGTCGTGGGTTCACACACCAACCAGACAATGAGCCCAGCAGACTTCAAAGTTGTGCAGAGACCATCTGACCCAGAAGAAGGAATCTGGAGTTCTGGAACTGATGGACCGGCCCAGTCAGAGTCTGGATCTGAATCCTGTTTAACACATTTGGGATGTGGTGCATTCATAGATTGAGCTACAGTCTGTGGGAACAGCTGGAACTATCTGGAGCTCAGTTCATGAACCACCAGCTGTTCTCAGGCCGAAGGAGGCCGGAGAAGGTCTGAAGGTCTCTGATGTGTGAACAACTGTTCACTTTATTATTCACCAAATAAACAACATTGTTAGATTTAAACTCGTCTTGACAGATCGCTGAAGTGCTGGTGTTCCTCTAACGAACCTGATTACCGGGCTCTCCGGTTCTGTTGGTTCTCCTGGTTCCTGGAGCTGCCGGTGACCTGTTGCTCCTCCCGGTGTTCTCTCCGTTATTCCGGTGTTAGCTCCGGGTCCGTTAGCTTCCCACCGTCCTGTCAGTACCGGGAGCAGCGGCCCGTTAACGGCCGCAGCTTCCGGTAAAATACCGTTTATGAACCGCCGAGGACCCGCAGCGACGCACCGAGTCCCGGACGGACCCCGAGCGGAACTTTGACCGGCGGAGCTAACGGCTAACGGCTAACAGGAACTTTGTTGAAGAGGAACGAAGTTTGTCGGCTGATCCGGTTCCTGTTCGGCAGCAGGCGGAGTCACGGCGGGTCGACAGGCTCCCTGAGCTGGTCACCGTCCTCAGCAGCACCGGGCTGGCCGGTCCAGTCACCGGGAGAAGCGACGGGACGCTGACAAAGTTCGGCGTGTTCACCTGAAGGACGGGCCGCGTCCCAACACCGGCAGCAGCGCCCTCCGAGGGCCGCGTCCCAACACTGAGCGCTGCGTCCTTCAGCGGCCCTTTAACGCCTCGGGCTCAGCTGACTGCCACCGCCAGCTCCTCCTCCAATCACAGGTCAGGAGCAGGACTTCAGGTCGACCCTTGAGGCTACCTGAGTGCTGTCACCTGTTGACTGGCTGTTTGTGTCACGTGACCCTCAGGCGCTGCTTCCATCAAGAACTGGAGCTGATGATTGTTCACCTGGAGAGCACATGGAGCAGCCTGGTCAGCTTTATGATATTGTTCTGTCTGCTGCTGATCATCATCCTCCTGCTGCAGAGTTCAGTCACATGATGCACATTGACATATTATTGATTATCTATTATCTATTACCTACACACCTTAATCCTCACCAGGTCTGCGGGGTCCAGTCCATCACAGGGCCGCAGACAGACAACCAGCAACACCTACGGACAATTTACAATCACCAATTAACCTCAGCATGTTTCTGGACTGTGGGAGGAAGCCGGAGAACCCGGAGAGAACCCACGCTGCACGGGGNGGTACCAAAGTCCGTCTGGACTCCTGTGTGGACTTCTGTGTGGCGCCAGCGTTGTTCAGTAAACGGCTCCGTATGCAGTGACGTACGGTTCTGACTGGGCTCCTGGCTGATGGAGAAGCAACCAGGTTCTGAGGAGGTGCCAGATGTGACCCAACTGAGCCCTGGAACCAGCACCTGGTTCTTCTGGGTGGACAAGGGGTGTGTGTGTGGCGTCTCCATGTTCTCCCTGCTGGCTTCCTCCTTCAGTCCAGAGACATGCTGAGGTCACCTGGTGACTCTAAACTCACACAGGTGTGAGTGTGAGTCTCTGTGATGAACTGGTTACCTGTCCAGGTGAACCTGCCTTCCGTCAGCAGATACCCTCCAGAGGTGTAGAGATGGATGTTTGATGCCTGGTTTCATTTCATCCGCCTGCTTTAATGTGGGACTATTCCCAGTGAGGGATCGATAACGCTGCTGTCAGTATGGACAAGCTGCTTTGGAGGTGCAGAAACAGAAACATTTAGAGGTACCAGAGTTCAACTGTTGCTGAGTCAGTCTGAACTTGTTCAGACGTCAGAGCAGCTGTTCAGCAGCTCCAGCTGCTCTCCACACCTTCGGTCTGTTGCCATAGAGACTCAGAGCGTCGATCAGCTGATAGAGCCCATCAGTGAAAGTAAACTCACCTCTGATGTCCAGCGGACCACAGACTCTCTGACCATGTTCAACTTCTCCTCCTGCAGCTGTTGGCTCCTCCCCTTGATCCACGGAGCGGCGGTAGATTCCTCGGTTCACATCCTCAAACACGTCCAGCATCTCAGAGACCCGGGCGGTGTAACCTGCCAGCTCCGTCACCTGCACAGGTAGGCGGTCATCAGCTGCTTTACAACAGCACTGAAGGACAAACAAAGTGGAGCCGAGGCGTACCTCTTTGTAGGAGCTCATGATTCTCTCCACAGCGTCAGCGGCAGCGTTGAGGAGGTTCCTGGCTATCGTGAAGGTCTGCGTCCGTTCACTCACCAGCTCCTCCTCCTTCATCACTAGCGCCGCCTGCTTCACCTCCTCCGAGTCTGAGAGACAACAGGCCGAGTTCATCTGCTGCACTGTGGACTGTTCAGGGTTGAATATGACAGGGGGCGGGGCTTACCGTATTTAGAGTATCCAGTGGCGGTGATGATGGGCACGGCGACCATCACCAGGCCAGAGGCACTCCACAGGTACTTCATGAGGAACTGTTCCAACATGACGTACCAGAGACGCTTCAGCAGGATCTGATGTATCTGAGAGGACAGAGACATGTAGCTCCGCTGCAGCTGGGCCATCTCCACCTACAAATCAAACGTACCCAGAAACACACGCTGTAAGGTGACTCGCCTGGTTAACTCAGGCTTTTACTCAGAGCTGCAGTCCTCCACCAGGTGGCGTTTGTTCTGTCCACCAGGGGGTGTGCTGACCTTATGTCCACCGTAGAATGCAATCTCTTCGGAGTTGGTGATGATGCGTGAGTGCATGTATCGCAGGTCTCCTTTCCTCTTCGCCTCCTCGGCCACCAGCTTCCCGAAGTGAGGCGAACAGGAACGCAGGATTTTAGCGGTGAGCGCCACCACCAGGCCGGCAATGACAGCCGGCCACGTAGTGTTCGCTCCTGTAGCAGATAGATCACAGGTAGCTGTCGCGTGTTCACCATGGACACAGTAACACGTGTAGCTTTAGCGTGTTCAACATGGACACAGTAACACGTGCAGTTTTAGCGTGTTCACCATGGACATAGTAACACGTGTAGCTTTAGCATGTTTAACACATGTACCTTTGGATTGTGCGGTGCGCAGCAGTGTGTAGCAGGTGACGATCACGTCCAGGATGGGTTTGGTCAGGTTGGAGTACAGGTGAGCGATGGAGGCCGAAAACATGACAATGTCCTCGGTGAGAGATTGGTCGGGATTGGACAGGCGGCCGTCCATGTTGCTGACACGGTAGTAAGTCTGTGGACATGGAAAGGACACGACTGAAGAGTGCAGGACACCTGATCAACACATCCATCATTCTTGGCAGCACACCTGCCTCAGCAGTCAGAGTGTGTTACCTGGTTGGTGAAGTACAGCTGGTAGGCGTGGCTGACCAATCGGCTCCTGAAGCTGAGAGTCAGCTGACCCTCTAGGAATCTGATGGCGCTGTTGATAAAAGTTGCAGGAATTGCGACGAGGAGCCACTTAGAGAGCTGCAGCACAAAGGCTTTAGCGTCCTTCTGCACGATGCACCGCACGATCACACCTGATGATCAATACTGCTGATTACGATCACACCTGATGATCAATACTGCTGATTACGATCACACCTGATGATCAATACTGCTGATTACGATCACACCTGACAGGTAGAGACAGACAGGTACGCACCGTCCAGCGCCGCCACATAGATGGACAGGAAGGTTCTGGACATCAGGGTCAGAGAGTGCAGAACCAGCAGACCGATCTCTGGACTCAGTAACCGTGGAAACAAGAGCTTCAGGAGACGAGACAGTTTGAGGACGAACTCCCGGTTGACTGATGGAGACCTGAGGACACACATGGGGTCAACAGGTGCTGCTCACCTGTCCACATGGACCATGAAGCCCAGTGAACAAGTGAGCAGGTGAGGTCAGGTGTCAGGTACCTGCTGGCCCTCTTGTTTATCTTCTCCTCCTCGGCTCTGCCATCAGAGCAGCTGACCACGCCCACAGGTAGATGAGCGCCGCCCAGCTGTTTACCTGCTGCACTCCTCTGAAGAACAAAACACCCTGATAGTGAGCTGCACCGTGTTAGTACAGGTGTGTACAGGTGTTAGTGCAGGTGTGTACGGGTATTGGTACGGGTGTGTACGGGTGTTGGTACGGGTGTTTGTACGGGTGTTAGTACAGGTGTTAGTACAGGTGTGTACGGGTGTTTGTACGGGTGTTAGTACAGGTGTTAGTACAGGTGTGTACGGGTGTTGGTACAGGTGTTAGTACAGGTGTTAGTACAGGTGTGTACGGGTATTGGTACGGGTGTGTACGGGTGTTAGTGCAGGTGTGTACGGGTGTTTGTACGGGTGTTTGTACGGGTGTTAGTACAGGTGTTAGTACAGGTGTGTACGCGTGTCAGTGTGAACATTGAAAAGTTTTATATTTTTCATCAGTTATTTATGAAGGCAATGATTTCATACATTTTTGACGCATTACATTTGAATGATGAGCATCAGAAATGCAGCACCACAGATATCAGAACATGACGACTGTAGTGAAGTGACTTCCTGTCCCGTCAGGGTCCAGAGCTGTCCTGCCTCCCCACTCTCACTAAGCCTGGTTCTGTTAGAGGTCCCTATTATGCAGTGTTTTTGGTTCCTTCCCACCGCTGCTGCTGACTGTTGCTCACATGGAGTCCAAATCTACGCTCCGCCTCACGTTGTCTCTGATGCATAGTTCAACAACACCCCACCACACTGTTCCTGAGCCTCAGAGCATCGGCCTGTCCTTCTGCAGGAAACATGTGTTCTGCTCCAATCTACAGCTCTGATGGTTTCATTCAACATTTACACCACATGCAGGTGTGAGTCCAGGTGTGTGTCCAGGTGTTTCTCACCTGTAGCCTCCTCCAGACGTACGGCGATAGTTTTTTGATGGCGTAGGCAGCGAGCAGCAAAGCCGGGAGCTTTCTGAGTCTGGAGCTCCGCCTCAGCTGAGCTGCCAGCTTCTGATAGGTCAACTGCATGTTGATGGCTGAAAGGCGACCAATCAGAGCGCAGAATCAGCAGTAACCACAGGAGTCCTGCTTAATAGGGTCCAGGTGCACAGCAGGGTCGTCGTCAAGGAAACACCATGATGACCTCAAAGAGTATCCACCTGCACAGGTGAGACGGCATCAATCACACCTTAAAGTTGGAAGTCGGGTCAAACACCACGAGGGGTTCTGCTGGGCTCGGCTCAGACGGTCCATGTGCGTCACTGTGGGACCTGTCAGATGGACCAGAACCAGCTGGACTCAGTCTGGGTCTTTGAAATATAATTTCAACAAAAGGTTTTTATTTGTTCATCAGAGGAAATACTCTGCTGTCAGAGGTAATCTGATTACTGTGAGAGGATACCGTTAGATTCCTGTGATGAACTCTAACCTGCATGGACAGACAGTATGTGTACTGCTACTGTGACAGTGTGTCGCTCAGGGCCTTCTGGCAGTATTTCACAGTATTTCACAGTATTTTGCAGTACTTTACAGTATTTAATAGTACTACTTTTTGTATTTTACAGTACTTTATCTGTACAGAGCGTACCTCATGTATCAGACCTCCACCAGTGTCAGCTTCATACCACAGCTGATCTCAAGCAACAGCAGTGCTCATGACCAGAACCACTTCTGATGCTTCTGTTGTGCCGAAACCGTTGATGAAAACGGACCGAGTCCACGTCCAACACAAACCATGGTCGTGCTGCAGCAGAGCAGCTTTAGGCCCGCGGGCCGGAGAGGACATCCCAACATGAACATGTCACTAAAACACACACACACACAGTGACACACACACACACACA